AGGGTAGAAATGAGTTTTATAAAAATTTTTAAATATTAATAACAAGTAAAATCTTAATTAAGTGCGACCGTACTCGAGATATGAAGCACGACTTCCTTTAAATAACCCCGTTCACCTATAACCATTATAATTTAATAGCACCAATTTTTTTAATATACAAACCTCCTTGCAAAAGTTTAAAAATTTTCGACAAAAGGCACAGGAGTTATTAAGCATCAAAGAGGGTGAACAAAATCGTACCTCCCCCATACAAACCTCTATACACAGAGGGAAAAAAACCCTATTTTTTGCATTTTTTCGATGTTTCAAGGTTCCCTTTGTTCTCTAATATATAATTTAATACCAGTTTAGCTGTTATCTTTCTTATCAATAATTAAATTAATTAGTTAAATTAATACAGTATACCATTAAAAATTAATTTCATTTAGCTAAAATAAACACATCTTTGTATAATACAAAAATATCAAATAATAGATTGTTTCAAGTAAAATAAATTATATCTCCCCCTTTTGTTTTCTTACATTTTTAAAATTTAATTTCATATTGCAATTTATATTGTATTTTAAAGGGTTTTATTGTTAAACGGGGGTGATCTTTCTTCAGGCGTTACAGATGTAGAATTTAATCAAGAAGAAAGATAAATTTTATCAGTTTTCGAAAAACTGTTAATAAAATGCTGTATTTTATTAACAGTTTTTCAAATATATAACAAATATAAATTAATATATAACAATAAATTAACTATATATAACAAATATAAATTAATATATATAATAGAATAATAAGGTAATTTTTAAAAGACTAATAGGACTTACAGGACACATTTAGATCAAAGATAGATACTGTACTGTACATGCTACATACATGCTATATTTTTCTGTTGCAACGAAACACTAGAATGCTTTATCTTTACAACAGAATGAATGACTAGTCCCTAGCTGATCGTTTATCTATCATAAAAAAGTAACGAGTACTTCAGTAATAAAATAATGTAGATAGAATAATAAACACTTAAAAATTTTAAGGACTGCATATAAAAACGAATTAAAAAAATCTATTATTTAAGCTTATTTTTTAAGACGTATTGTTTATTAATATATAACTTATTTATGTGTTTATTATTATCATTATGAAATGATTTTATTGCAGTTGTTTTCTTTGACTTTAAGCTTGTTATTTCTTTAGTAAATAAACAAATATTTGTTAACATTTAAAATAACAAATAATTCTGTGAATTGATTTCATTAATCTTTATATTAATTCACAACTTTAATAAGGTAAATATTGATTGATTTGTGAAATAAAGTTGCTACAATTAAATGATTAATGATCAAAGCCTAATGATTATTCAATATAATAAGATAAAATTTTAAAATGTTTTTATTTAATTAAGCAATATTATATTATTTAGATAAATATTTTATAGGAATAGAAATACAGATAAAGAGACGAATTGGCAATATCTAGTTATGATAACTTCTTCTTCTTAAGTTTATTTTATTGTTATTATTGTTATGTTATTGATGTAACACTGGTTGATCCTGGTGCCAAGGATTTTTAATAGCTATGTCTCAGTCTGGTATAGCTATTAAAAACAATTGTGTCGAGTGCGTAACGCAACTGTACACTGTTAGTCGCGGGTTTACGTCTAACTACAAGTTAACCAAGTAAAGTTTTCCTGATTTTCTTCACTTATATAACACCTAAATTGGTCCAATCTGGTAATATAGTCCATGTCTTGCATTGCCTTATTTCATGAATCCATCAAAAACAACTGTTTTATTATGCTTGTATGTTGTATACGGACATCTTAGAATGGAAAATTATAGGTGCAATAAATACCTTATGCCATCCCAGGAATCGAGTAAAAGATTCCACAAATTATAATCGTAAAAGTAATTGAGTAATATGTAATCTTACATCCTCAACTTTAATGTAATATTGTATTTTATAATCTGTGAGAAAAACCAAAAAAATTAAGTAATTAAATACAAATTTATTGATATAATTACTTGTCTCCGTGCTTTACCCCTTCTGGAAAATTTTATGCGGACATCTATGTCTACACGCTACAGACGATTTATATTATGGGAAACTTTATTATTGATGTCGTTGTATTATTTTAAGAAAATATCAAACGATAAGTTATTTATCTCACTATCTTACCTGTGATCAAGTGTAGACATAAATATTTCTAGACTTAAATGAGCTTTGAATAAGTAAAGGGTTGAATGAAACCATTTTATAAATCTGACTTCAGCTGCCAAAGTTATTTTATATAGTTGTAGGCCATGTTCCAAGAAAATATATATTTAAAAAATTTTATAGATTAAAAAAATAATAATAAATTAGCGTTACATTAAAAAAAATCTTAAATATTTATGTTAAAATTATCCGAAATTGAATATAAAATTCTAATTGTAATTGTTAAATATTTCAAACGATTTATAACGTTCTTCTAATCAGTATTTATAGTATAGATATATTTAAGAAATTTATACTGTTTTTACTTAAAAAATCCAGTTTGAAATCTAGATTATAAGACAAATAGTAATGTCGCGCTAATCCGAACTAATTGAGACAAGTCGTAGTTCGGATTAATGAAAAGTTTGGATTAACGGGTATATGATGCTTACGCTTTAAAGTTTTTTTTTTTTTTTTTTCTTTACAGAAGCAAATAAAGGTTAGAATTGCTGTTAAGTCAAACGGGTCACAGAAAGAATGAGTAGCAATGCTTATAACACGTGACTTGTGTTTAGTTTACACGTGAGCTGCAAGTGTACAGTTGAAAAGTCCAAATTTTAGTTAGTGGAATGGTAGAAACTGTTCGGATTACAAAGATGTTCCGATGGCCGGGGGTTCGGANTTTAAAATATTTGATAGATTGTTATGCAGTTACCATAACAAATACATTAAAGTACATTTACCTGTCTACTAAATAATTCGTTCAATAAAATTTCGTTTTGTCATCACGATAAAATATTATATCTCGGACGGGGTCAAATTATAACACTTTTTCAACAATTTTAATATGGTGTTGATGAATTATGAGCTATATTTTCTATTAATGACCTATATTTCTTCGCTAGACGATCGAATAGTTAATTTTCTCAATAAGTTTGAAACACGTACGTCTATAAATTTGTTTTAATCACTTATTAGCCTGTTATTAAAGTTTATTTTCTGTTCATAAAAGACATTAGAATAACTGAGTAAATTCGCAATGATTTCTCTCAGATGATCGATTTGAAAAGTATTTTTAAAAATTTAAATCGCATTCAATGTTTTATACGTCTGAATAAATATTTTATAATCTCTCGAATATATTTAGATTATTAGTCAGCTTAAACTAACTGTTCTTGCTTGTCAACAAGAAATTTTATATTTAGAACACCTTCATTATTAATTAATTAAAGTTTAAATTCAAGTTTTCATATAGGTTTTTTTTTTTAAAGAAGTCACCCAGGTCTAAAATTTGAAAGGCCCATTACGCAGAGATCACCAAGATGAGAGATGAAGTTGAGAGACGAGAACAGACCTACCCATCTGTAGATCCACGAGGACAGTTATAGCCTCTTCAACTGAGTCCAGCAACCGCCATATAATCCAGAATCCCGAAGGGCCAACACTCATGGAAGATTCAAGTCCTGGAGATCGCCAGTACTTGTGGAAAATTCAATCAATCTAGTTCTGACTCGATCCTGGGCATCCAAAGTGGTAACCGCTGAGGTCATAAGGCCGAATTCATAAGGCTTACAAAGGTAATTTTGCTTAAATTTATAATTTATTACGATTAAAATAATAAATAATTTTTAAACTACAGTTAAATCGTCATTATAATAAAGATGAATGATTGGAATGAAATCATCTTCATTTAGTTTTAACCTGTAAAGGTCTTCACTGATATCTTTGATACCATTCTCTTCTAAAGTTCCTAACATATTCAGATCTTTTCCTCGATATCTCCAAGTGTAACTGTTTGCATGGGTATTATACTTGAGATAACGTTTTAATATCTCGTTCATATTTTCTTCGCAGCAAACCTCAATTGTTACGCCCTTCAATAGGAGCATATTAACAATATGAATTTTTCTGGGTTTTGAGGTCACTAATCCAATTACGTAAGAATCATCTTTCCACCAAGGAAGCTTAGGTCTATCTGTTTCGTTTGTTATCTCTTCGTCTGTTTTCTCTTGGTTACATTCTTCTATATTATGGGCATTTTGTGAACGATCACTGGTAGCTTCTGAAAAATGTTCTTCAATATTACATTCCTGAAAATCTGTTGCTACTAAAGACAAATCGATAAACTTTCCAAAGGGGGTAAATGGAGTTATAGAATTGGTTTTAGGATTAACGTGTGTTTTTGGATTTAGAGTTTTAGGATGAAACCAACTAGAAATATCCTTGCCTGCAAAAGCCAAAATTGGATCAAATAGACAACTTCCCTTGTGTTTTTCGTATAATGAAGTCAAATTATAAACTTTTCCAAACAACGACACCCACAAATCATCCGATTTGTTGTGAAGAACAATTTCGTTAGGTGTAAAATATCGNAATTTTGCTTAAATTTATAATTTATTACGATTAAAATAATAAATAATTTTTAAACTACAGTTAAATCGTCATTATAATAAAGATGAATGATTGGAATGAAATCATCTTCATTTAGTTTTAACCTGTAAAGGTCTTCACTGATATCTTTGATACCATTCTCTTCTAAAGTTCCTAACATATTCAGATCTTTTCCTCGATATCTCCAAGTGTAACTGTTTGCATGGGTATTATACTTGAGATAACGTTTTAATATCTCGTTCATATTTTCTTCGCAGCAAACCTCAATTGTTACGCCCTTCAATAGGAGCATATTAACAATATGAATTTTTCTGGGTTTTGAGGTCACTAATCCAATTACGTAAGAATCATCTTTCCACCAAGGAAGCTTAGGTCTATCTGTTTCGTTTGTTATCTCTTCGTCTGTTTTCTCTTGGTTACATTCTTCTATATTATGGGCATTTTGTGAACGATCACTGGTAGCTTCTGAAAAATGTTCTTCAATATTACATTCCTGAAAATCTGTTGCTACTAAAGACAAATCGATAAACTTTCCAAAGGGGGTAAATGGAGTTATAGAATTGGTTTTAGGATTAACGTGTGTTTTTGGATTTAGAGTTTTAGGATGAAACCAACTAGAAATATCCTTGCCTGCAAAAGCCAAAATTGGATCAAATAGACAACTTCCCTTGTGTTTTTCGTATAATGAAGTCAAATTATAAACTTTTCCAAACAACGACACCCACAAATCATCCGATTTGTTGTGAAGAACAATTTCGTTAGGTGTAAAATATCGAAGACGGGCCATTTTTAAAACGTAAATTCGAATCACATTATTCGAACTTTATCTAATCATATTTTTTAAAATACAAAAGTTAACTGAATCAATTTTATGTTTCCATAGAAGCGTATTTTTTTTAACATAGTAACTTTTATATAATCAATATAATAAAATAATACATTTAAATCAATATTATAAATAAAGGAACTTTGAAATTTAACAATAATTTCAATGAAATTTTGAGTTTAAATTACAGAAAAATGCCGATGGATTAATATATTTTTTATAAATTAAAATGATATAACCGATTGTCATAACTATAAAAAGGATTTATAAATCAACAGAATTATATATAAAAAGTAAACATTATCGATATTTATATTTTTAATTCATTAATATCCTACTTCTGAATCACAACTTTTTTGAATTTTACATATATTTTAATTATATTAATGCGTTTCTTAGATACATTTCATTTTCTAAAAGCAAATTTCAGGTGAATCATTTTCTCTTATGTAAATATATTGATTTAGTTCATTTGGAATATAGTCAGAATCAATAGTCATTATCATAAATATACGTAGATCTAAAATATTCTTTGTACTTTCTCAACACATTTGCCAAATTTAATAAGTGATTTTTAGAATTTTTTCATTCTAAATATACTAAAAATTATTAAGATAACATTAATAAATTTTCACCAAACTTTTTTTTTTAATTCTATTTTTAACTGTTTTCTCTCAAAGATTTGCTTACAGATATTTACTGTTGATTAATTAAAGAAGCATAGTCTGTACTATAAGTTAGGAGACGTCCATTAATTACATTTTTGAGCCACTCTTGACTCCTCCATCTCTATTGAGTACAACAATATACTTTTGGCAAACCTTCTTCCCTTTAATTACTTGTATAATTAGATACAACATACTGGAGCCGTATTCTGGTCACTGTCTCTGGTCTCTCGCAAGCCGGTCGCTGATTGGCTAATCATTTGAATTAGCCAATCAGCAACCGGCTTGCGAGAGACGAGAGACCAGAGACAGTGACCAGAATATGGCCCCAGTATCTTTTTACAATAGTTTAGGAGCCTCCTGATATTAAAGAAATGACTTTAAAGAAGTTCTGGACATATTTTCTCATAGTTCATTGACACAGATAGTAAGTACAGTAGACCCCCTCTATAACATTGTAGATAATTCCGTGTTATATGTTGTACGAGTCACTTAGATTTTACAAATACGTGAGCCATTCACAACCCGGCACACGTATTTGTAAAATCTAAGTGATTCGTACAACATGGAATTCATATAACACGAAATTATCTACAGTGTTATAGGGGGTCTACTATAGAATTATAAAAACAAATTCGAATACCACTAATACCACTACAAAAAGTCAACGTAGGCAATGCCTGGCCTCCCATCGTTTATAATACTCAGTGGCGCATTATAGCTTAATGGAGCCCAGACGAATTTGAATTAGGGTGCCTCATGTACTGTACAGTATTGATTTAGTATTGATTTCAGATAGGGAAATATTTTTGGATTTGGTCCCCTGTTGGTAAGGGCTCCAGGAAATTACCCATTTTGCCCATAGAATAACGCGCCACTGATGATAATATAATTTTTTGAGTCCCTTTAAACTGTATATACAATTAATGGACGTACAGTACTTAATACTAGGTTATACATTATAAGATTTGAGAGGCGTAATAAAAATATTGTTTTTATCTAATTTTTTGAATTACAGACGGCGCCACTTAATTACTTTTTGAATTTCAAATTCCTTTGCGAGAGTCAGCTTGAAAAAAGTTTGAAGTAAGGAAATACTATAAAATTTTCTATTTTTAATACATCACGCGCTTTCTCCTAATTTTGATATTGTAAAAGACNAATATAAAATTCTAATTGTAATTGTTAAATATTTCAAACGATTTATAACGTTCTTCTAATCAGTATTTATAGTATAGATATATTTAAGAAATTTATACTGTTTTTACTTAAAAAATCCAGCTTGAAATCTAGATTATAAGACAAATAGTAATGTCGCGCTAATCCGAACTAATTGAGACAAGTCGTAGTTCGGATTAATGAAAAGTTTGGATTAACGGGTATATGATGCTTACGCTTTAAAGTTTTTTTTTTTTTTTTTACTTTACAGAAGCAAATAAAGGTTAGAATTGCTGTTAAGTCAAACGGGTCACAGAAAGAATGAGTAGCAATGCTTATAACACGTGACTTGTGTTTAGTTTACACGTGAGCTGCAAGTGTACAGTTGAAAAGTCCAAATTTTAGTTAGTGGAATGGTAGAAACTGTTCGGATTACAAAGATGTTCCGATGGCCGGGGGTTCGGATTATCGCGACCGTTTTTAAAAATATATAGGCCTAATTAATATTTAAGCACTTTATTTACAAAACGTAATATTAAGTTTAGTACAGATATAATTTATTCTTAGGCTGCAATTTGAAAAAAATTATAGACCTATAAAGCTTTCCATAAAATTCGTTTCGGTCTTTGAACGATGATTCAAAGTTCGAACTGCGCGCGTAGTGAATAAATTCGGTCGAAGAGTAAACGCCATCTTTTGTGCGCACAAGTCATTTCTCGCTCTTTCTGTGAAAGTATTTCTCGTGCTTTGTTTTTCTTATATATATTTGCAGCTCTGAATGACATGGCTGAGATCTTAACAGAGTTGTAGACCATACTCATACGAGTTAAAAAGGCAAAGGGACCATATTTCTACTGCGACTCTTCACGGGTTGACTCGAGGTGTTAGACAGATGGAAGTAGACACTAGACACGGAAAGCTTAAGGACAGGAGGCCACAATTAACTATATACGAACTTCCAGTATAGACCGGAAGTCACGTGATTTTAATTCAAAAATTTTCTCCAAAACGGAGTTATATAAATGACCGGCATGACTCTGTTGTTATTAGGAAAAATATGATGTACAGGGGCAAGACACTACTAATTTGAGATGCAGAGCATATATTTTAAATTAAATAAATTAAAAATTCCAACTCGATTAAAAATTTTTTGTATTATTTGTAGCATAAAAGTTTCTTGTACCATAATATGTTAAAAAATAAATGCTATTTTTTTTTATAACACAAAATACAAACGAAAAGAAAAGATGTTTATCCTGCAAGTTTATAATTATATCGACTTAAATAAATTTGTTTTGTTTTTTAATTGTTGCCTTTTTAGCAAGTCAACCATTTTTCTATTAAAAGATAATATTATTCTATCAAACACGTAGTTATAATTTTATAGTCAACCGCAACACGGGAAATAAGTTTAAAAGTCAATTCGTTCTAAATAAATATTTATTTTATGAAATATTGCGAATCTCTATCGTTAGAATTAAATTATGTAATCTGTAATAGGCCTAAATACTAAAGCGAATTCACAAACAGAAGTTTTTCCTTATAAATAGGAGAGAAAACGCTGGCATTAACAAGTTATATGTTGGTTCATCATACTCACCACGTGGGGGTGGCTGCTTCAGAATTCCATCAAGAGTTAGATATGTAAATTTATATACATAAAGAGAGCAATTATTTATTGTGACATGGTCACAATGCCGGGCTGCAATTTTTAATCACATTTCTAATTTATTTAATTTAAAATAAGCTCTCAGCCTCAAATTAGTAGTGGCTTGCCTCTGTATATCATACTTTTTTTATAAACAAGAGTCGTTGCCGGTCATCTATATAACTTTCAGGGAAAGTTTTAAATTGAAATAACGTGATTTTCGATTTGTATCAGAAATTAATATATAGATAATCCTAAGGTTTCTATATATGGTCTCGAATTTCATCTATCTAATTCCATTCTCGAGATTATGGAAAGACAGTGAGAATTTATAAGTTTGCAATTTTTTCAAATTGCAGCACAACTATGATTAAAGTTTGCAGCCTGGTATTGTGGCATTAAACCTTTTTCATGTTGTCGAATTTAAAATCTTGATGTTCTTTTGGGATCTCTTACCTCTCTGTGGGCATGAGAAGGCCCATTTTCATAAACCACATTGATTCGACCAGGCCCACAATGGAAGGGATCAGTTGGTGAAGGATGGGACCTGATATATCTATAACGGACATTCCATAAAAAATTCCTGGGGTTGCTCGCCCGGATTCGATATAGGTCCTCCTGAACGTTATTTGACTCCTTAACCATCCGGTAGTCAACCAGAATGTATTTAAATTCGAGTTACTTCTTAAATTTTAATTTTCTAATGTTCTGCAATGCGATATAATTCAATTTAAGCACGGTATTAATTTCCTAAAATAATCAATACTTATTGGTTATTTTAGGTTAAAAATTACATTATAATACGACAGATTTGATGTTTTAACTAATCTTCAGAGTGAAAAGAATCACATATAACCGGATTAATATAATTTAATTATTTATGGTTGACCCGAAACCTTAAAATTACGCAATTACTAAACTTAATAACTGAATAAATAATACATGAATATTAAAACACAGTTAATATGTATAAAAAGTAAAAGGTTGAAGGTATTACTAGACACATAAAGAATTAATACATCAAAAGTTATTATAGATAAAGTTTTAAAAATAATTCAGTAATCGTATTTTTAGAAAGTGACTGTTGTTAAACGTGAATTTAAATAAGCTTAAAAATATTTGTATGATTTCTATGATTTTTTTTTACTTTAACGTTTAAACGAATGGAAGAAAATCTTAGGTACTGTACAAGTACAGATAGGATATTCCTATACTGTAAATAATCCGCATAAAGAATCCATTCGAAAATTATATGCCTTTATCCGGATTGTCAACAGCAAAGTCGGTAAAAGTTGCTCTTGATAATCCCCTAAAGAACGTTTTCTTCAAATATAATTGTAAACATTTTCGAAGAACATGGGCTTCTATTTGACACTCTATTAGATTTAATCTTATGATTGAAAACTTACTTAATAATAAACATACTCAAATGAGGAATGCCTCGCGAGAGAACTTTCTATGGGAAATTTGCCATTATTTAGGTGTAGATAGGTGAGAAAACCTGGAAAATAGGTTGGTAAGACCCGAACCCACGACTAA